AAGGGGGTCAAACACCGTGTTAGTATGGTGTTCCTAATAATCCTTTAGGTGAGTGTATGTCATGTGGCACTTATTGTTTATTGCTTCCAAGATTTACTAAAACAATGGCATGGTGTGCTCCAGCAACTGAATTTAATGAGCATAAGGATGCGCTGAATTTATACAGACTACTGACTTTTGGGTGTCACAATATGCATCCCATTAATATCTTAGGCACATTAGTAATCTGCTTACCAAATTGTGGGCATAAGTAAATGTCTGTAAAGTACTGAAAAGCCGGCGTCCGGACAAATGTTTCACTAGTCATCTAAAGCCCTGGGGCCAGTTGCACAAAACACCTTAAGACTTTCCTTAAAGTCCGAGTTAAGGTCTCCTTAAAATAAAGTTGGTTGCACAAAACACCCTTAAGTCTCCTTAAAATTTTCTCTTAAGTATTTAAGTTTTTCTCCTAATCTTGGTCTTATACTTAAGGAATCCCTTAACGATAAGACCTTGGCAACCAAACTAAGAGAAAAAAATTAAGGTACCTCTAACCGTACATTAACTGCAACATGGCCAAGTTTATGATAATAAATAACGAAAATGAACGCATCCCAAAAAGAGTTTTCCGCGACCGGGATAACCCCTTAGATACAATTTGATTTTGCTTTATAAATTTGACCGGCAGTCAATTTATGATTTGTCCAATCGTCTTCAGTTGGATCACTGCACAGTCCGAAGCTGTGCTCTCCCAGCTGCATTGCAATTAATGATTGCTCTGCGGCTTTATGCTACGGGCTCGTTCCAGGCTGTAATAGGCGATGTATTTCATGTCCACAAGTCAACGGTGTGCCCTGTCATTCACCGAATTTCAAACGCCATTGCCCGTCTGTTGAACACCGTGCTGAAATTCCCCTCTAAACAAGGAGAGGATGAAATAGCAACACACTTCTTTAATGTAGCCGGCTTCCCAAGAGTGTGCAGGGTGATAGATCATAGATGGGACCCACATCAGGATTCAAGCTCCAGTACAATATGAAGATCAATTTATTAACAGAAAAAAATCAATGTTCAGTTAGTTTGCAATCATGAACATAAAATAACTAACATTGTAGCACAATGCAGACTTCTTGAATTAATTTTCATTGCAGTTTCCTCCCACGTTCGTTGTTTTCTGTTTGCTGTTATTTGCTGATCAAATTTACTTTTTAATATGTTCTTTCTTTTATTGTATTCCTCCAAAAGTATAATCTTTTCCTCCTCTGACCAATTTGGCTTTCTTGTCTTTTCTCCAATTTTTTTTTTTTTTTTTTTACTTTTTTTTACTTTTTTAGTAACTTTGTGAGGCGATAACGGGTATCAAAAGCAGGCGCGAGTGCAAGCAGATGAACTGTCTCCATGGAAACGGGACAATTTTACTGCTGTAAAACGTCTTTCAATGTTGTAAATCCCTTAATGTTTTTCCTTAACTAAGGAAACTTTTTAAGGGGTTCTGTGCAACACCCTTAAATAAATCCCTTAGCTAAGGAGAAATTAAACCTTTAAGTGTCTTAAGGGGAAAACTTAAGTTGTTTTGTGCTACCGGCCCCTGGTGACTATTACGCATGCACCATATGATCACGATTACATCGTTACGTGATCACAACAGCCCTATTTGGACACTACCGCTTGTTAGTTTACAGTGTTCACTTTGGGAAAGTTTAGTTACTGATGTACTGTCTAACATCCTAAAGGAGAGCAGGCACTTAGGAAGGGTGGTCACTTTACTGCTAAATTTAAAGACCCCATGAATAAGCAAATTTATACTTGGATAATAAAGTATGCCTTGTATTGCAAAATAAATGTTTATGGGTGTCTTTTATATAGAATGTAAGTTCAGCAGCTGCGATCTGCATTCAGACCTGTGGAGATAGATATTTGCTGTTAGATGCCGAGGGCACCGAAGGCTTTCATATGAAGCTACAAAGCCACTGCTATATACATGCATTCATGCACATTTCAATAGAGAAAGGGAACAAAACATCAACTATGTAAACTCCAAATGCTAATATTGGTTCTCCACCCCACAGTTGTTGGATCAGCTCTAATACATCACTGCTGTACATCATCCATGGCCCTATTGTGGCAGCTTTATTGGTAGGAATACTCCACTTGTATCTGTATCTTTGCTTTTATTCAAATCGGATGTACTAACCAATTTCTCTATTCTCTTTCTCAGGGATTAAGTTAGTTGGTGTGACTATAGTGGGTGGGCCAATATTTTTTACTGAATTTTGGATATCGTCAACATATTTCATTAGAGAAAATGTCCTTGTTTTTGATGTTTTAGGGGTGTAAGATTAGTTAATTAGCTTTTAACTAGAACTCAGCAGCCATAAGTGGGTTGTAACTTGCAATTAATTACATTACATTAATTACTGCTATTGGCTATTACTTACACATTGTTAGAGGCTAGAGTGGATCCTCTGATTATTGGATCACTCTGGGGTTCCCTCAGATCCGTGTCTTACCATGATCTTGATCCTGCTCTCCACAGGTTAACCTCTTCTTTTTGCTCAACATCATCCGTGTTCTGATCACCAAGCTCAAGGTGACCCATCAGACGGAGACTAGCCTATACATGAAGGCTGTACGGGCCACACTGATTCTGGTGCCGCTCCTGGGGATCCAGTTTGTGCTGTGGCCATACAAGCCCCATAGTCATGTGGCATCTGAAGTCTACGATTATATTATGCACATCCTGATACATTACCAGGTGGGGGTCACCTTCAGTAAGTCATGACCTTTACAAATGAAATCCAAGTCTAAATATGCATACCATCTTTCAGATTTTCTATAGATCATTTCTAAGTTGTCCTTCTGTCAGAGCAATCACATTTTATATACATATTTTTAAATGGGCACCCATTTTGCAAAGTAATTAAATGGGACCCTTTGCACAGTACTGGGTATTGACTGATTGATAAAGACTGATGCTGGTCAAGTTATTTTTCTTCCTGGCAGTATTCATGTTGCAGTTGTTGAATGCAATTTCAATGAAGGGTCATCATAACACTTTACTAAGCCACATGTAGTGTTTATCTTCCTTCTATCATTTGGTCTTTTATTTACTTTCAGGGGCTGCTGGTGGCCACCATATTCTGTTTCTTTAATGGGGAGGTAAGGTTCAAGATACTTTCTTCTCCCAAATATACAAACTACTATACATGGCACAAGCTTTGGGGTCACAATATATAGGTACAGTAAAGTCATGTTATATTGGACTCACTTATAACGGAATATCGTCTATAACGGACAAGGTCCGCTGGTCCCGGCCGTGCACCTTTAAAAACATGCAGAAAAAGCATTGGATATAGCGGACTTGCATATAACGGACAAACAATTTGGTCCCCAGGGCCGCTTTTAGCTGTAGTGTTGTTCAGCTATAACGTACATGCAGGCTCCACCTACAAGGCGCGTGGCGTGCCGGTGATATCCAGTGCAGATACGTAGTCGGGATTATTAATAGTCACGCATCTGGTCAGGTAAAGTTGGATTACTACATGTACAATATAATAATCTATACCACAAGTGTGTCTGCTGGGGTGTGGCATGAGTAAATGGTTTTGTGTTCTGGGCATACAGCAACTCTGGATATAACGGACTTTGGATATAACCGACTGTTTTGCCAGGTCCCTTGAAGTCTGTTATAACTGGATTTTACTGTTGTGCAATACAGCTTGAACTAGACTGAATTTAAAAAGTCATGAATGAACTGGCACAACACTGCAAATGGGTGGTGGTATTGAAAGTATTCTTCCATTGAGGTGATGCAGCTGCAATATTGTCTACAGGTGCAAGGGGTTCTGAGAAGACACTGGAACCAGTATCGCATTCAGTTCGGTACACCCTTGGCTCACCCAGATGCCCTGCGCTCAGCATCCTACACAGCCTCCAGCATCACCGATGTGCCCGGCTGCTACAGCATCGAAAGCCTCACGGAACACTTTAATGGCAAGGGCTGCCATGACACTGAGACCAGCATATTCAAACCAGAGAGCCCCTTTGCCTGAAGGATCACCTCACAGCCATTATTGAAGACTAGATACAGTGGAAAACCAAATACTAGAGAGCTGTTATCCTCATACTAAAAATGAAGTACATCATACAAGATACTAACATGAAAATAGTGGGCTTGCCAATCAGTATGAATTACTAAACACTGGGATCTGTTCCTCTGCTTTTCCCAAAATAGAATGTGTGTCCTGGCACCCTTCTTCATCCCTATCCAAATATGTATTTAAAAAGACATCAGTACAATTTTCAGGACTGGCAGCACCTTATTTGTAGCCACTATGAACTGTCAGTGTGTGTGTGTGCGTCGAGGACAGAGTGGAAGCACTTGGATATACGCTGATGCACCTTGACAAATTGCCCCTGGTCTTCTGTACTCGTGCCATCAAACTCAATGCCTTCTCTTCACCACATCATCCACAGCTCTCTTTTCTTCACAGTCGTGGTCTTTAGATGGAGAATCTGATTGGGTGACCCAGCCATTCCATAAGAGGCATGTTCACTGTTGCAGTGAGTCCATCAAGCTTGTACCTGGTCATTTTCTTCCTTTTTACCTGCAATGTCTCTCTTGACTACTGGGTCTTTTGTTGTTGAAGATTGTTCCAAGGAGGCAAAAATTCTGAGTGTTAACCATCAACAGCTAGGAGCTGACCCCATTCATGACATTTGATTTTCCAGTGATAACATGCATATAATTCACTTGTTAGTCTTCAGAAATTCTCAGGAAATGCAGATAATCATACCCTTGATTACAATTCATTTAAATAAGAGAAAAATTAATTCCTAAGAAGCCTCTTCGTGATAGTGGGGATAAGATCATTAGCATTAATTTTAGCTACATGGTCCTGTGTTGTATGATAAAGTCAGTAGGTCACTTTTCAGTGGTAAGGAGTTGGTAGAGTTACTGCTGCGTATCTTTACATCTCGTGTGTAGGACTTATGCTCTTAACTACCCTTGTGGGTTTGGTTTCTGGCAGCGAGCGACAGAGTGTTGGCAGCCCTCCTGACATCTGGGATGGGTTCTGCATTGACGCAACCCAAATGGAACAGAACAGATTTGGAAAGATTAACTTGATTGAGTTTTACGTTGTGATTTGATTTATTTCATGCTGTCTCAAACATGAAGATGTTTAAATACTAATAGTCCAATGGTTCCCTTATGGTGAACCACAGTTTATATCAGTTTTGGAAAAAACTTTTGTGTTTATAACATTGTACTCAAAGGACATTTGCATCTCTGTACCTGAATATATGACCTCATCATATAATTTTAAAGTTAGTAAACTTGTGAAATTTCCTTAATAAATTAATATTTTACATAGTCTGCTCATTCAGCTATATACGGAATTATATTTCTTCAGTAAAAAGTTAATAATGCGAAGGTACAGGGGTTTAACGGCATATGGCTGTCTGTACAGGACACCTGCTCACTGCTCAGAATGTAAATTGGAGGATCCTTAAGCATCAGCTTCAGTTAACCAAGCGATCGGCTGATTATGGTGATAAGCTTTATAGTGCTTTAGCCAGTCAAGCTATTCATTCTTGCACATTTATAGCCGCTTATTAGAAAGTGCCATTATTACACTGATTATGTTTTGTGCAATTATTGTGTTACATTTAATTGACTGTATGGTAAAACATATACCTTCACATTATCATGAAAGGACAATACAGTTTGAAAATCATTGAATATCAATGCTCCTGCTACAATGGTCCATGCTAGTACCCCTGTAATACACAGTATGGTGCTGACTGTGGCTTTTAGCTTCCACACTGGGTTTTGCTCATAGAACCATTCATAGGAAGTCCAGCTCCATGCATTATGCCAATTGCCTTTCTTGTGTGGCCCAGCTGTGTTAAGGGAACATTGTACGCTTCTGGCATCTATACAGGATTTATTTCCATTATTAATTTTCCATTAGTGGTTTTCAGAACATAAAAGACCGAACAAGTTGTTTTAACTTATTTTTTTTTTAAGTCAGATTGCTGGAAAGAACCCTGGCCACATTCAGAAGTTGTAAATATAGTTGTAAAGGTCAAAGGTTGTTTGTGTTTTTGCATTACATGTATGTATTTATACCTAATATGTCATATTGTATGTACCGATAAACACAGACCTACCAGAGTGCACATCAGCGTGTATCTTTGATCACACGTGACACCAGGCGCCAGTGCACTTTTTCTTTTTAAAGAACAATGAGTCTTAAAGCTATTATGGTGCAGACTTCTGGCTCCAGGTCTCCACTGAGTTTGAACTTGAGTGTAATCGCATAAAAGCCAACAGCAGTTAATCATATCACCCACTGTGGTCACAGCCGATTGGAGATGTGGAATTGGTTGGGGTCTTTCATTTGGGAAGTTTCCTTCTGGCTGTAGAATGTTAACATGACTGACAAAAAAATATAACACAATCATAAATGTATATTCTGCATGTAATCCTCACTCATATGCAGTTCACTTGGACATAGAATCACCACTACAGCATGTGCAGAGTATCAGTATTCCAAGGACTGCTGCATGCGGTGACAGCTTCCACAGCACATCGTAACCATGGGATTATCGGTCTGTCCCCCGCTGAAGTGTGACTCTTCACATGATGACAGAGGCTGTGTGGTGAGGACTGTGCATGTGCATCATAAGTATTGTACTGTATTTCACTTTTAAATTGGACCCCCTGCTGGTCCTTTTCTGCTGTATAAATGTAATGATAAACACACACAGGTTTTTTTTTCTCCATTGAACTTAGCTGATGTTGCTATGATGATCTCTGTTTTATTATACAATTATAAACCATTATCTGAAAACACGATAAGTCTGATCTGTATTCATTAAGAAAAAACAAACACATTTGATCACATATTTCCAGCACTTGCTATCATTCCATTTGAGTTTCTGCCTGAATAGCTGAGTGGCACAGCCCAGTTAATTAAAGTTCATGCTTATTAGACATAGAGCCAGCAGACAGAAACTTACCCTTATTCTACTATATTGAGGTGACATGTTGGCAGGCATTCAAAGCTAGCCCACTACATACATATCCTGTTAACATTCTATTTACATTTCACCTATTTCTCCTTTTTTATCCTGATAACCAGGCTTGTGGCTGAGATGTTATAAATGTAGTGGCTATGTACAACCTTCCCGTTACCTATACAGAAATTAAATTTATAGCCAGCTACCTCAGACATCAGAGAAAATTTTAAGGTAATCATTAAATTCTGACTTGGAACTCCTGGAAGGATATAAATTTTGGAGCTATTTTCCCGTGCTGGATGATTGTACCAGCTCCAGATCTCCATCCAGTCACACTAGTCCTGCAGACTTTGCAAGAATGAATGAGGAGCCATTTGGAAGAAGTTTGTGTTACTCATCTAAACAAATAAAAAGTCGCCACACAATCATACTACAGTAGGTCTGCATTGTTTTGGACTAGGCATTATTAATAGATCCTGTGCATTATAATGGGAATACAAGCCCTAACAGAGAATTGCCAAATGTCATACTAAAATCAATAGCATGTGCCATCTTTGGATACAGAGCTAATAGAATAAATCAGTGTAGAACATAACGACTATAATGAATTTATTCAGGAACAACAAACTGCAAAAGATACCTTGTAACAATAAACATGACATTTGGTGTTTTCAAAGTACAGTCGAACCTCGGTACAACGTACCCCGTTTATAACGTTTACACCAATACAACGTTCAAATTTCAATGTCCCGAATTCGCGTAATGCATTATTCCATTCGCCAGTATCGCTTAGAACGTACAGCCTCATCTTCCGAGCGCGCGCACAATTCAGAATCGGCTGTTGCCGGCCATCCACATCGCTTAGCAACGCCTAACTGTATGAACCTATCCTCACGAAGCATTCCACGCCGGCTGGACTCCTTGCATGCACTGATGCAGCCCCTGTTTTTTCATGGTTTTGCATGGTGTCATGGTATCGAAATTTATTTCAGCCAATTGAATCATACAGGTGCATAATTTCGGTTTGACATTAGGTTCCAGTAAGGCGATTTGAACGATAAGCCGGCAGTGGATTTTGCGTTATGTCGGCTGTCTATGAGTAACTGATATTAACCTAGTTTGAAGAATATAGTTCCTATTCAGAATAGGAACTATATTCTTCAAACTACACAAGCTGTATATCATAGTGTCAACTTGAGGGGTGTTTTATAAAAGTTTTTTTATATACATTTTGTGTTCTATCATTCATTTTGAGGGACTTGGTTACAACGTACTATGGTTATAACGTTATAACAGGCCAGGGCTGAGTTTATGAAGGACTATTTCCAGCTGATAAGGAAACATTCAATAGCATTATTTCCTCTATTGTATAATAAAATTAAATAGTGTATAATTAAATTGAATTTAAATATCATTCTGGATATCTACTAGACCCAAACTTTCTTGGATGAGTTGTAGGGATGTAAGGATACACTCAACTCACAATTCAATATGATTCAATTTTCTCACGATTTTTTAGCAGAATGAGCTGCAGACAAATTCATTCAAAAATATTCCTTTATTTATCTTTCTAAACTGTGCAAAATGTGTCCTCTTCTTAACAGTGCAACTGAAATTGAATAAAATACAGTTTTAAAAAAAATCCCAAATCAAAATAAGTAAATAAAAGAAATCTTCAAATAAACAAATTAAGGCTTGCATGTGCAGCTTTTTAGCATGGTTTGCCATCCATCCATCCATCCATTAAATACATCCATCCATCCAGGGTTCGGGTCGCAGGGGTAGCAGCTTCAGGAGAGATACCCAGACCTCCCTCTCCCCAGCTAACTCTACCAGCTCTTCGGGGAGGATGCCGAGGCGTTCCCAGGCGAGCCGAGAGATATAATCCCTCCAGTGTGTCCTGGGTCTGCCCCGGGGCCTCCTCCCTGTAGGATATGCACCGAAAACCTCTCTGGGTAGCCACCCAGGAGGCATCCACACCAGATATCCAAACCACCTCAACTGGCTCCTTTTGACGTGGAGAAGCAGTGGACTCTCCCGGATATCCGAACTTCTCACCCTATCCCTAAGGGAGAGCCCAGACACCCTGCAGAGAAACTTCATTTCACCTGTATCCGTGATCTCATTCTTTCGGTCATTACCCATAGCTCATGACCATAGGTGAGGTTAGGGACGAAGATGGACCAATAGATCGAGAGCTTTGCTTTGCTTTCTCAGTTATTTCTTAGCAACAACAAACCAGTTAAACGCCTGCAAAACTGTAGACGTCGCTCCGATTCGTCTGTCCAGCTCTCGCCTACCCTCACTCGTGAACAAGACCCTGAGATACTTGAACTCCTCCACTTGAGACAGCACCTCTTCTCTGACCTGAAGAGGGCAATCCACCCGTTTCCGGCTGAGAACCATGGTCTTGGAATTGAAGGTGCTAATCCTCATCCCGCCGCTTCGCACTCGGCTGTGAACCGCTCCAGAGCACACTGGAGATCCCCAGCAGATGAAGCCAACAGGACGACATCATCCGCAAAAAGCAGCGAGGCAATCCTGAGGCCACCAAACTGAACACCCTCAACACCCTGGCTGCACCTAGAAATCCTGTCCATAAATATTATAAACAGGACCAATGACAAAGGGCAGCCCTGGCAGAGCCCAACCTGCAATGGGAACACGTCCGACTTAATACCAGCAATGCGGACCAAGCTTCTGCTCCATTCATACAGGGACCGAATTGCCCACAGCAGTGGACCCCGGACCCCATACTCCCAAAGCACCCCCCACAAAGCACCTCGGGGAACCTGGTCGTAAGCCTTTTCCAAATCCACGAAACACATGTAGACTAGATAGGCAAACTCCCAGGCCCCCTCCAGTACCCTTGCAAGGGTATAAAGCTGGTCCAGTGTTCCACGGCCAGGATGAAAACCATATTGTTCCTCCTGAATCCGAGATTTGACTATCGATCTCACCCTCCTCTCCAGTACCCCGGAATATAATTTCCCAGGAAGGCTGAGAAGTGTGATCCCCCTGTAGTTGGAACACAACCAGGACATGGGTAATGTTTGGATAAGATTTTTATCGTTTTGGAAGCCATTAAGAAAAAAAATGCTCTTCTTGTTTTATCCTGTTCATTTTGTGTTTAAATGCTAAAAAACAAACAAAAAAACATATTTCAGTGTATTTTTTGGGGGGGGCGGGAACCAATTATTTGTTTTTCCATTATTTCTTATGGAAAAAATTCGATCAGAACTCGAACTTTTTAGGATTCGATCTGGAGTCCGGAACAGATTAAGTTCAAGAACAGAGGTACCACTGTATTCATAATTATAATGTCTGATTACTGATGTCTGTTACTACATATACACTGGTTTTATCAAAATTAGTTGGCTGCATGAACTTTGCAGCTAAATTTGAAATCAATTCTGTACCATTTGATATATTTCAGTGTAGTGGAACAACATCTTAATGGGCAAGGTCTCACTGGCTATTAAACAAATCAATAGAACATGCAGCATAATAATAAGAGGATTGCCCTTTTCATACAATGTTTTTTACTATCTAAACATGATTAGGCAAACCAGAAACTGTGGAGGAACAAAATAAAGTGCAGTTCATAGCCAGATCACATGACTTGATGCCATGGTCAATATGTTACATGATGAGAAAGTAATTTTTTTAGACCTAGCTCCAGGTTTAGAAACTGACACCATATGGTTAAACAGACCACCAAAAGCAGTATTTTTAATTAAATTTTTTTGTTGAATTTTCTATTTAGTAAAAAATTGGATGACCACATGGGAGCTGCTGCTTGCCTTAATTTCTCCTGCCCAAAGATGACTACATAATGATCAACTTACAGCATAAACTCAGCCAAATCAAGATGGGTTTTCTTTGTTTAAGAAATCATATCAAGTTACAGGGCATTTCAACTGTGCAATTCTTCCTCTGGGAGGTCATTGACCTCAGTCCTCATGTATCAAACAAGACTTTACTCAGTTCCCTCAGTTCCATATTGATGTGTTATTCTGTGGATGGAGTCAGAGAGGAGAAGCCAAATCCTACACTCCCACTGACATTAATATATTCAAGGGCCTGGGTAATAGTTTTCCACAGGTGTCCATTATGGCTGGACGATTCTGCGTAAAATATGAATCCCAATTTTTTTCACTCAGAATCAAGATCTTGATTTTCTTTACCAATTCTTGAGCAATGTATTTCTCTACATATTTTTGCTTCTGCATTACATATTGTCTTTATGAACAATATGTAGAGATGCACAATATATCAGTTAACATATTACAGACACCCTACCTGAAACATATTGATTCCAGGGAGGTGAAGGAGGGAAAACCATTAGGTGTACTGGCTAGGCTTGGGCAGTATTATTGTAACAGTGTAAACCTGCATTATTTTTTTGTAAAATCACCCCACTTGGCAAAATTTATCAGGAAATACCGACGTAACGCTGTTTTTAAAAATACCACAGTATAATGTCTAGATGGTATGACAGTATTAAAAACTAGCTAGTGCTCAAGCCTAGTGCTGGCTGGGGTGGTGGCAGTAACAGCTCTTGTAAGCTTATTTAACTGTCACTGAATAGCAGAACAACAGAATTCCATGACATTGCGTGCCACTCATGGGTGTCAGGGAGCTGCTATCAATTTTCAGGACACTCCCGAAGCTTCTGGGAGATGTGGGATGTTTGCACATCAATACAAGCCTGATGCGTCACCCTCGGCCAATATTGCTGGCTAATATTTGAACTTTATCATCATTCAAAATTAGCAGTATCATAGCTAAAGACACAACTACTGAAATAATAGAGATGATTTTTAAATCTGAT